GATTATTCTCATCATCTCACACGTAAATTGAAGTACGATATAGTAATTAAACACGTGGGGAAGTGTATATAGTACAACTTTATTTGGTATTTCAACTACATTAAGTGGTGCCTTGCAATCCTTGCGATGTTGCCGAATAAACTCTTTCCAAACCCAAATGCGACCAATAATGTACGATCGTTAATAAATTATGGCAAAGTCTATTCAATAATAGTTGTGCTTGAGAGATCGAAATTACCCCTGGATAATATCTATCATATCTTGGTATAGTGCCCGTTCTTTTCTCAACGAGTCAAAGATTAGTAACCGACTTGAGTTTAACTCAATGACAATGAGTATCCAAGTGATAACACATTGAATGTCTCTCTAGATACAATTTTCTCTCTCTCAACACATGAAAATAAGTACATGTATATATACATATAGAAATAATTAAGTACATATGTATACCATATAGAATCTCTCTCTAGATATATATAAGAGATAGAATATATAATTACTAAATCCAATTAAATAAATCCAACATGAAATTAGATAAACTAGTAATAGATAATACATTTTAAAAATCTAACTAACTAAAAATTACCTAAAAACTAACATATATCACCTAACAATCTAACTAACATATATCAATTATCTAATAAATCTAACTAACTAAAAATCTAACTAACATATATCAATTATCTAATAAATCTAACTAACTAAAAATCTAACTAACATATATCAAAAACTATCTAAAAACTAACTAAAAAACTAAATAACTACTAAATATTGTTTATTAGTATTATCTAAAAAACAATGAAAAATCCAACATTATAATAATCGACGGCAGGGCCAAGCAAGGCGGGCGAAGTTCGACGACGACGAGGTCAGGCGCAAGGGCTCGGACGACGGTAGTGAGGCCGAGGAGCGAGGCTTCGACGACGACGCAGCCGATCGAGAGCGCAGAGAGAGATCGAGTTCGACGGGCGGTGGGCGCGCTGGGAAGCCTCGGCGACGGAGGTGGGATCGGGGTCTGTGGCGGAGGAGGATGCGGCGCGATGCGGGCCGGGAGAATGGCACGGCCGTAGGGTGGGGTAGACGACGACGGCGGCGTGGCAGGATGAGCTCGACGACGGCGGATGGCGCGGCCGAGACGAGATCGAAGATGAACAGAACAGACGTTCGATATATATAGGCGGGACCCTTTAGTCCCGGCTAGTAACACCAACCGGGACTAAAACCCTTTAGTCCCTAACTGGTATTATCAACCGGGACTAAAGGCCCAACCCTTTAGTCCCGGTTGGTTTGACTAGCCGGGACTAAAAGTAGTATTTTGGGTAGCAGCGAAATTGCCGCCCACTCTTTAGTCCGGTTCTTAGTCCGGGCGGGATGAAGGCCTAAAAGTTTTGGCAACCCGCCAAACATAATTGGCTTGGGTTTTGATTTTGTTTAATACTAGGTTAAACAATTAATTCCATATCAACTTCAATACTTTGCAATATTTATTTTAAAAAATACTATTGATTAACTAATTATTTATTGTAAATAGGAAAATTTTGTAACCTAAAGTTTTTAATTTCTTTTATGAATATAGAATATAAATGTTACTAATACTAAGTATTTTGTTAATGCAAAGTTGACCAAACAACAATTGTAGATCTTTTTGAGTTTAACAAACTTGGTATTCAAAACTTTTCAATTGAAGTCATTTAGAGTCCATAATACTAGGGTCAAAGTGTTGTTTTTTCATTTGACCAAATTTGACTTGGTCAAACTTGCTCAAATGAGACACTAAATGACCTCAGATGAAAAAACTCTGAATACCAAGTTTGATCATCTCAGCAAGATCTACAATTGTTACATAGATCATTTTCCCATTTGAGAAATTTTTATCAAACACTAGTCACAATTTTCCTTATCTCTTATAGACTTCTAAAACTATGTCACACACTTGTGAAAATTAAACTACATTTTATTCAAGCTTTCTCAAATGAAAAAATGGTCTATATAAGGATTGTAGATATTGATGATATGAACAAACTTGGTATTCAAAACTTTTCAATTTTAGACAATCTAGGGTTAGAAAACTAGTTTGTAGGCGTCGAAATTTAAAAATCATAAATTTGAACCGTCCAAACTTTCTCAAATGGAAAGTTGACCAAAACAACAATTGTAGATCTTTTGAGTTTAACAAACTTGGTATTCAAAACTTTTCAATTCGAAGTCATTTAGAGTCCATAATACTAGGGTCAAAGTGTTGTTTTTTCATTTGACCAAATTTGACTTGGTCAAACTTGCTCAAATGAGACACTAAATGACCTCAGATGAAAAAACTCTGAATACCAAGTTTGATCATCTCAGCAAGATCTACAATTGTTACATAGATCATTTTCCCATTTGAGAAATTTTTATCAAACACTAGTCACAATTTTCCTTATCTCTTATAGACTTCTAAAACTATGTCACACACTTGTGAAAATTGAACTACATTTTGTTCAAGCTTTCTCAAATGAAAAAATGGTCTATATAAGGATTGTAGATATTGATGATATGAACAAACTTGGTATTCAAAACTTTTCAATTTTAGACAATCTAGGGTTCCGAAAACATATTACATAATATCCGTCTCTAAAACATAATATATTAAACATGCATCGTTGTATCATGCGGGCTGTGATGAATTTCTTCTTGACGTATGACCCTTGGTTATGATCTTGTCGTAACCATGGAGTGTCTTCATCATTTAACATGATGCTTGGATCTTTCTTCACTATGAAGGGTGGAATTCGGACATTTCTTTTCGTAATCTTGGACATGTCCGACTTGTCTTCAATTCCTACTATATTTATTTTCCCGTAAAGAATTATGTGGCGCTTTGGCTCATTGATCATTGAGTTGATGTCTTCGTTTTTCCTCTCTTTGATTTTGTAGACATGTCTTTCACATAGAACACCTGACTCACATCGGCAAAGAAGGACGAATGGTTCCTCTTTGTATCCAATATTGTTGAGGTCCTTTGTTGTCATTCCATACTCTTTGTCGATTGTTACCCTCCTCCGGTGTCAGCTTCACCCATTGGCACCGGAACAAAGGGACTTTAAAGTTTGTTACCTCCAAAATCGAAGAGCAACACCAATGGAGGGAGAGTGCAAGAACAATGCAAAGCTGAAGAACAGAGGCGGTGAGTTTGAATAATGGAATGGCTCGGGCTCGGGAGGAAGAATTGAGCGTAATTATAGGCGGGATAATTAGTCCCGGTTAGGGGTCCAAACCGGGACTAAATATTAATCTTTATTCGGGCATAACCCAAACCGGGACTAAAGCTTTAGTCCCGGTTGGTAATACCAATGGGGACTAAAGATCCTCCCTCATGAGACGATCGTTAGGCGGGGACCTTTAGTCCCGGTTGGTAATTACCAACCGGGACTAAAGGGTCCTTAGTCCCGGGGGCAAAAATGCCGAGGCTAATGCTAAATTGGGACATCGTTCTAAAGTCTGTTCTCTAGTAGTGACGTGCTGCAAGTGATGGGAAGCGCTGTTGGCTGCACCCCATCCTCTGGACTCTACCGGGCTGCACTCCGTTCTTCCTCCTCTATCTCCTCTGCCAACCTCGAATGTATGGGCCCCTCTCTCTCTCTCTCCCTCTTCCGATTCATGTTCAAGATCGTTTTGAATCAACTAGTACCAGATTCATCCTCTAATCTACACCTAGATGATCCTAAGAACTTAACACAGAATACTAATTGAGGTGCCGGATTACTAATAATCTGTAAACACATGCCAAGATGTGCAACTACTAAACAAGGTCTAGTTGTTCCATGAACCAAGCTTGTCCATTGCGTCGGCTACCAAAGAGTGAATAATATTGAATTCATGAAAGGCCTGTTCATGAGCAAACGGCAAACAAAAGCGCCCATACACAGCCGCACAGTGCCATGCAAAATCCACGAGCTCTTAAAAAAACGCCCTCCAGAGAGATCAAACCGTGGAGCTCCAGCATTCGTTGGTATGCTAATAGGGAAAAATACACCCTAATTAATCATTCCTTGGTATGCTAAATGTTGTCCTAAACGACTTCCTTTATCAATATGGAGGAGTATCAATTCCACCCAACGTGAGGGCACACGCAATGGTTAGAGCTAGTTACTAGCTCTAAGCCAATTTCTCTAATAATGCTAACTTTTAGCACATAACTTTTAACATGGGTAGCCCTATATGACACTCTCTCAGGTAACCTTGAAATATGTACAAGAGCATAGCTCTTGATTAAAAGCTAGTTTTTCTCTCTTTTCTATTAAAATATAAGAAAAATATTTAGAGCTATCTTAAAAATTGATCGTTGGAGCTGCCCTCGGTCAAATCTGGGAAGAGGCGCATTAGATTGATCGTGCACTAACTGCAGTGGCACACTCACCGAGCTATTAGTTGACCTGTTCAAATCTCTACACACATCCATTTGTTAATGGAACGCCCATTTTGCTGAACATTTTGCTGGCACGCACTACTAAGTCCACTATACTTACCATCTTAATCTATAATCTATACAATTGTGCATGATCTTCTAGACTTGGTCCGGCAAGAGATTGAGCAGTGACTTAGTATAATGTGGAGAAGGGCAACAAATACCAATTCAAAACGCAACAAGCTCCTGTATTTTGCTTCAGCTTGGTCGGCCTCTGTTCCCTCTCCATTCTGTCCATTTTCAAGTGACCAGCTCGCACAACGATGCATGGCAGCCTCAGATCTGCAAGATCAAGTCAACCAGCGATGTCGCGGTGGACCAGTGCACCCATCAGTCACCTCACCACCACCATCCACCATCGGCCGGCCGTCCTTGTCTCTTCCATGCGTCCCGACGCGCGCTCCACTAGCAGAACGACACCTCTATATGTAGCGCACGCCTGTGCGAACATGCCGCTCCAGCACTCGTTCCGTAATCCAATACAAACCCCACGCACGCACTAGCGCTAGATCCCCTGGTGACACTCGCAGCTTGATCGCAATCATCATCGACGACAATGGCGTATTCTTGCGCCGTGCACGGTGCCTTGTGGATCGCCGTGGTCACTTTCCTTTGTTGCTTCCGGCAGCGTCGGCATCCGCGTAGCGCAGGCGAGGTACGGCCCTGGGCACTGGAGCCCTGCCCCTGCCCCTGTGGCGGCCCTTGTCAGCGAGCAGCTGTACAACTCCCTGTTCCTGCACAAGGACGACGCCGCCTGCCCCGCCAAGGGCTTCTACACCTACGCCTCCTTCATCCAGGCCGCCAGGACGTTCCCCAAGTTCACCGCCACGGGCGACCTCAGCACCCGCAAGCGCGAGGTCGCGGCCTTCTTCGCGCAAATCTCTCACGAGACCACAGGTGGTTGGGCGACGGCGCCGGACGGCCAGTACGCGTGGGGCCTGTGCTACAAGGAGGAGATCAGGCCGGCGAGCAACTACTGCGACGCGACGGACAAGCAGTGGCCGTGCTACCCGGGCAAGTCCTACCACGGCCGGGGCCCCATCCAGCTGTCCTGGAACTTCAACTACGGGCCGGCGGGGCAGGCGCTGGGCTTCGACGGCCTGCGCAACCCGGAGGTGGTGGCCAACTGCTCCGAGACCGCGTTCCGGACGGCGCTGTGGTTCTGGATGACGCCGCGCCGGCCCAAGCCGTCGTGCCACGAGGTCATGGTCGGCGAGTACCGCCCTACCGCCGCCGACGCCGCGGCCAACCGGACGGCAGGGTTCGGGCTCGTCACCAACATCGTCAACGGCGGGCTCGAGTGCAATCGCACAGACGATGCCCGGGTCAACAACCGGATTGGGTTCTACCAGAGGTACTGCCAGATCTTCAACGTCGACGCCGGCGCCAACCTCGACTGCGCACACCAGCAGCCGTACTAGTGCCTAGTGGTAGCCACTACTTGATTAACGCGGGGTTCTTTAAGCTGTTTCTATCAGAGTTAATCAAAGTATATTAGCTTTTTGGATGAATGTACGTATTCTCTTGTTCTGACCTATACATACAAACATATATGAATAAAGAACAGTAGACGACATCACCTGTGAGTTACACGCTTTGCCTCAACCGTCTGTATACTGCTAATTATGCAAATTAGTCCTCCATGCACGGCAATCAACAAAGAGAGAAGGGATCGAGTCGTCGTCTCATGGACGGCGGCACGTTCATCGTCGAACCTGGTACTGCACCCTTGGGAGATGCAAGAAGTTCGGCGTTCAGGACAGCATGTGAGCATGTTTCAAACAATTTTTTTTTGGAGATTTTTACCTCACTATTTTCTTGCTTAGTTTCTTCTGTTTCTTCAGATTAATTTGGAGGTATGCAGCTCCTCGGATGACAGAGACGCACGACCTGCTGCTCTCAAATAATTCTGAATTTTGCATATTTGGTTTGATTGGTACAGGTAAAGGGTATATAACCTAGTGCATTTTTTATGGCAGATGTAGTAATCAGCGGGTTTCCAACAGAGGTGCAAATAAAATTGTTCTGCACAAACAGTAACATTTTATCTAGTCATGTTGAAATGAGTTCTGAGCTTTCAATACTGAAATATGAATTGCGTTTTAAAAAGTATGGCTCCGTAGTATTTTTGTTTTGCTATCTTGTCTTACTGTTGCACTAGTGGCTGATGTCTCCTGGGTATGCATAATTTCAGACTTCAGGATAATACAGCAGTTGATTGCTGGAATAGTGAAACTGCAGCCTCCTCCTCTGCTTCTTGTTGAGCTCTGTTGCTCTAATGTAGCATGGACGAGATCCCTGTCCTTCAGGTCTCGGAAGCGAAGAGAATAGCAGAGTCCATTGCATGGTTGGCTCCGGTTTAGCAGGTGATGGGGTCCATGACACATTCGCAGCCAGTTTGCTCCAAACCTTGGGTGATGCTCATCACTGCCAGTTCGTCTTACGAACTGCTGTTGAAAATGGGGGCAATTATCACCACTGGTTAGTAACTTATCACTGCCGACATGGCACGTGATGCATTTTGTGATTTTCACCGCCAGATCATAAGGCGCACCAAAGTGGTAGTTTCTTTCACCGCTGTATGTAATGGTGGCGTGTCCTTCCATCTAAAAACCGCGGCAAAAAATTATAATCTCCGCATGTTTCTTATTGCATCGCGTATTGTATGAATCACCGGCGGTGCTAAAACGTTCTACCGCTAGTTGCACGCACGGTGCGATGGAGAAGGCCGGTACTATGTCCGCCGCCGGATACGCCAGGCCGGCGGTGAAAATGTTTATCACCGTCGGTGGACTACCCAAAAGGGACCTCTTGGCCCGTAAGCTGGCAGTGATAATTATCACCGCGGTTGTCTCAAAACCGTGAGACATACTAATATTAATAGTGAAAAGGAGTGTTGGCTTCCGTACTCTCCTTCCTAATTTGTTTGTACAACAATGATTTTTTGATCAAATCATCTATCAACTAAGGTTTGAAAATCATGGTAAACCGTAAATACTTTAGACATGTGCTTAAGAATATAAACATTGGTAAATTTACTATTATCATCAGTAAACATGACATCATTTTCTACTTACTAATTAATTTAGTAGCATGACACAAACATCATGAAACACAAGCTAAACATTGGTACATGTAGGATAGGGAAACAGATGGCTCTTGCCTTTTGGACATGCATCAAAATAGATTGTTTCTTGTTTTCACTTGTATAAATATATTCTAACAAGTATTCTGATGAACAATGGAAAAAGATGGGTGTCCTAACTGATTATGTCATGTGTTGGATGAAGGTTTCATGGTGCCACAAGCAAGCTTTCTAACCAAAGTGAACCACATGGAATGGGGGTATAGGCCACATCCACATTTCCCTTGCATAAGTGTTTTCCTCGTTACACTCTAACTAGAAAGTCTTTTGGTGAAAATTTTGAAAAAAAACATTATTATTGGTAGGAAGTTAATGAACATAGATTAGATTCTTTGAAGCATTAGGGGCATGAAGAACATCTTTGGGAACAAGATTCCTACTCACTGTATGCATAGTAGATGGACCAACATATCTAATTTCCATACCTAAAGCATTTGCAACATGGATCTCTGGTCATTGCCACCATGCTTCTCACTCATTGTAGGCTTTTCCTACTCACTAGTGGTGTTGATCTGTGGCACCAGTGTTGATTTGTATATACGAAGATCGAATCCAAGTTGTAGAACGATCGTGCAACAACAACGTTTCATTCATCGTGCACAAAGTTCTCTTCGAATATGTGCCAGCAATGTGAGGCAAAATGAATGTCCTTCTTGAAGCAAACATGGTATCTAGTATTGCTGTGAGGTTAGTTTACACTCGTGTTGTTGGAGAAAGTAAGGGTGGCTTCTATTTTTGCCGACATAGATCGAGTCGTGGCTACCACCACGGAAAAAATAATTGTCTCCATGAATGCCACCACGCGATGAAGAATTTGTGTATGAATGGGAACCTCCATTGTACAAGAATCAATATATTGCTTGTAGCTAAGTAATTTGAATAAAGTTCTCCAATTGAAATTGGTTCAACATGAGCAAGAACTTCAGAAACAATAGGGTTATATTCCATGTCCAAGTCAGTAACAATGTACCAAACAAATTCTTCAACATCAAGGGGCTTGACAATAAATGTCAACACACCAGTTAACACCTTCATCTACTGATATATTCAGCAATCATTAGGGTTATTCCCTTCTAGGAAGTTGCTACGCGATCCTATGGTTGATAACCATGGCACGAGTTTACGAGGCATAGATGGCCCCGAGCCCTCTTCATACTTGAGCTGCAATTCCATATAGTTGCCACCACCTGTGCCAATCTTGACTAGAAAGGGTGATAGCAAGTAGCCAAGAACATGCAGGTCTCTAGCCAGCCACTTGGCATACACATGGTTCGACTTGTACACAATCTTTCTGTCATCCTTATCATTAATCCAGACATCAGGAATGGCCATAGAGGCATCAAGGAAGCCTACCAGCCATGCATTGTGCATCGCATGGATGACATGTTTATCTCTCATAGAACATAGACTTGGAGAGATTCTCACCTCTTATGATGAAGAGCCTGCACCCCTACAAGATTCATCATCACCAATGATGTTTTCACAGCCAGTTTGCTCCAAATCTTTTGTGATGCTCATCACTGCCGATTCATGTTACGAACAACCGCTGAAAATGGCGGCGATTATCACCACTGGTTGGTAACACGAACTGTTGGTGATAGTCCCTCATCATTGCTGGTCTGTGTTACCATCTAGCAGTGATGATTGCCCTATTTTCACTATCGGTTCGTAAAGTGAAACGGCGGTGAAAATCACTTTCACCGTCGGTTTGACTTATGAGCTGGCGGTGACGACCATATTGCAGCATAGTAAAATTAATTAATAACTTCTCCAAATCAAAATCAAGTCAGACGAAGAGAATCTTTGTATCAAAGTTTTAGGTCTCGATGAGATCTACAACTTTGTAGTCGATGACTTTTTCATTTGAAATCTAATACGGTCCCAAAATTATGTTTGAATTTCTCTTATATTTAAATTCAATTTTTTGAATTGTCCAAACAACCTCAAAAACAACCAAGACCAAAGCTGTAGATCTCGATGAGAACTACAGCTTCGTAGATGATAGCTTTGCCATTTGAAATCCCCTACAGTCTGTAAATCAAATGTATATGCCCTTTAGACACAGGTAACTTTGGGGTGAAGCGATTAGAGGAGTTATGCGTGTGGGCATATGTCACAAGTTCTAATCCCGCTGGCGCACAACGTTGTTTTTTCATGCGACAAATCGAGAAACTAGAGTTTACGGTGAAAGGTCACCCTTTGTCTTGAGTAGAAGGTCTCGTATTAAGACTTGGCACATCACAAGACACATAAATTAAAAATATATAGCTTCAATCCAACTAAAGTTTGTTGAAGACTCATCTACAACAACTAAATATGCTATTTTACAGAACAAACATCAACCACCTAGTCTCAGTCGATCCTAAGCCAGAGCTATATATCAATTACAAGAAAAAATAAATTTGGCTATATCTCTAACACTTGTGTCTTCCCCTTGTACGGGGCCTCATCTTATTTCCTTTCTTTTTAGACCTAGTGATATATGTTGCATTTTAGTTTTTACATTTTAGATCATGAACAGCTCATTTGATTTCAACTTTGATAGGTTAATACATGAGAAACTTTTACATAAACTAAAGATATCAGTAACTTAAAAAATATATTATTTTTTAGGCAAAATTTGCTGCTGAACGAAAGTGAGGTTGCTTTGCCAACGGACACCGAAAATAAATCGATTTACTGGTGGACACTCCACTTTGTGCCAAATTTGCTGGAGGACAACAAACGCAATAAATATTCATTTTTGCCTCAAGAGGTGAGAGAATAGCTGTGAAATAATGATTTTGCCCCTGGCTCCTTCTTCTTCCTCCCTCCCTTTCTATTGTTCAGGCACGCAGCGCTTGGCCACGGCGTGGACTTCGTGGACCGCAACCTGTACGATGGCGGGGGACCTAGACTTCTACACCACTGAGATTCCCTCGGCCGCCCATTGACCTCGGTGCCGACTACTTCGTCATGGTCATGGACGAAGAAACAGAGGACAGCGGGGAAAACTCGCTCATTTCCGGCCGAAGGAGGTTGTCGCCGGCGTCAAGAAGTGGCGTTGCGGCTAATACACATCCACCACACTCGTGGGTGGGTCAATTGCGGATGGAGATGGCCTATCATGGCTTTGCCGCATGCGTTGGCGGCCACGATATACTCGCGGTGGGCTCTCCAGCGGCACTGGCCTCGGCGAGCGTGCGCAGGGAGTATACGGGAGTGAGGTGGAGCCGGTGGTGCTGAGGTAGGTGAGGGAAAGAGGGAGATGGAGTGCGGCTGGAGCAACGACGAGGC